ACCATGCTGCTAATAGAACCTCAATGCTAATCGAACCACACTGCTAATCGAACCACACTGCTAACAGAACCACACTGCTAACAGAACCACACTGCTAACAGTACCATGCTGCTAATAGAACCTCAATGCTAACCGAACCACACTGCTAACAGTACCATGCTGCTAACAGAACCACATTGTAGATGGATTTCTTTTTCACTTTTGGCACCTTGCTTTGGTATTTCTTGTTGTTGTTTCTTTCTTGGCGAGTCGAGACGGTTCTTCTCGTCCTCAGCATTTCATTGATGACTTTGTGTTGGTCTGTATATGACAAATAAACCTAACCTAACATTCTACACCGATAAAATAAAACAAAGCCGCGCCTTCGTAAGCAAAACCAGCTTGTCGTCTGGTGATAAATGCCTAAATTTCAACAAACTCCAGATCATTTTGAAGGTTTTGAAGATGAGGATTTCTGAAATAATAAAACAATGTTGAAAAATATTTTGTTGGGACTCATTTTTCCAGCACGGGTCACATCTATCAGAAAATAAGACAACAGGTGATCTTACACGTCCGCAAAGCCTCTTCAGCTTTGAAGGAGGAGGCGTTAAAGTCAATGTGATTGTTTTCGTCTGGGACACCCTGACTGGATCCTTCCTGCAGGAGTTGGTCTGCCAGATGACCGTCCAAGAAAGCTTCCAGTTCTGCCTCGTCCACCTCCTCCTCCTCCTCCTCTTCTTCTTCTGGTCTGTCCGCTACAGCCAGCTCCTCTTCCTCATCTTCGGATTTCAAGCCATCAAAAGGGTTGAGAGGCGGCTGGATGCCCGGAGAAGACGGGGCGTCTTTATCTGGAACGCATTTTAATTTAAAAGTTACATTTTCTTTGTCATGAAAAACCTAGCAATCCTTGAGGATTAGCAGCTGCAGCCATCTTGACTTGGACTGTGTGATTCTTTAAAAACTACCAGATACCTGAAGAGCTGACGCTTTCCCTCGATGTCTCACCAAGCTCGACGCTTTCTTTGGGCGCCTCGTCGTTCATGATCCCGACATCGCTCTGCTCGGCTCTGAAACACATCGGCGCTGTAAACAAAAACAAACAAACAACATCGGTGAGGGTGCCGGGATAAACGGACTCACTCAGGCTGAGCTGGAGGCGTGACGTCGTCGCGAGGTTTGGCCTTCATGGCGTCGGCGCATTGCGTGATCAGACACTGCCACCTGGAACAACAGAGACAAGCTGATGAAACGTGACGACGTTTGACAAAAAACTTCAGAACCAGTCGGGTTTTAAATGAAGCACTCACGTTCTCCGGTCGGACACCGTCTGAGCCATCAGCTGGTACATCTGAACCCCATTTTCCGACATGGACAGAACAAAGAAGGCCTTCTTGTCTGAAAAGGACAATGTTTCCTTTAGGGGAAATACTGCATTACATTTATACATAAATGTATCATTACACACAGAAATTAAATGACATTTTCATATTTTATATTGAGAGGGCAGGACCCAGAGACACAATCACACCTTTCAGTGGCTCTTCGTACTACAGCTGGTTTGTTACTGACTCACTCGGTTTAATGATCTGATCCTCATGCTCACAGACTCATCAGTCTGAGATCTCAGTAAACCCGGGTCCTACATGTTCTCTAGCAGACTGCTGGTTCACGAGTTAGCGGCCTCACCCAAAAAGCAGCAGACCCTGGAAACGCTGCAGACTCAGAGGAATCGGGTCGCTGATTCGGGTTAAAAACTCAGCAGAACAAGTGGTACGCCAACGTCCCCCGTCACTGAGGAATATGAAGAGTGAACGTTTGCCGTTTTAGAGATGAGTGCTCTTCTGGACTGGAATAGAACTGGGAAATGCAGGTAAACCTTAATGTTTCTGTTGCAACATATTCAAGTGGGGAGGAGTTACGCTGTGGAGAAGAACAGAGGGAGGTTTTTTTCTTGTCCGAGGCGGCGCAGCGTGACGGATCCTGGAGAGTGGAGGGAGCAATTTTATCCACCAACAGGAGCAGTGGTGGAGTCAGGGGGTGGCCAATGGTGGGCTTGGCCACCATAAATTAATTTTTGGCCACCCCTATTTTTTTCTTACATCTGGATGCAGCCCTACACCAAAATGGAAGTTGGTATTTCACTTATTTTTCAAGTTATCATGCTGACAACAGGATGGACAGACGGTATTTCCAATTCCCCCTTTCGCTCCACGACTGGGAGGCAAAAAGGGCAGACTTGTGCCGAAAGTACAATACCACTGGTCTGATGTGCACACATGATGCACATTTTTGTATATTTGTGTGTACGGTTACATACTCTTGACATAACTCTACATAGCTCTCATCCTAACAGGGGCGTTCATGACTGAACCAAACTGTTGGACCTATTGAGATCTGTAGAACCATCCCACCAGCACTTCTAGTAAAAACTGTCTGATTTACCAAACAGAAAAGACTTGTAGGGAAAGAAATGGAGATAAAAAATTCAGCTAGAAGCACCCAGTCTTACCGATTGCTACGGGTCGAACCAGAACGGTGTTGAGTTTGATGACGGGGCTGAAGATGTGTTTGGTGTCAGCAGCACTCGCCGGGTTCTTGCCGTGAAACTTGAGTACCAGACGCTCGTCCTGCTTCTGCAGTAAAACCATGATGTCCTCCAGGAGGACCGTGTAAAGTTCTGAAATAATGACATAAAACTGAATGTTGTGTTTCGATGCATTTCAAAACCTAAATGTTTTTTTATTATGATTATTCTCATCATATTATGAGTTTACTGCTTGTACCAATCGTCTTGTCCTTGTTGACTCTCCAGGAGAGAGGGCCCTCGTGTACCATCTTCCTCTTGGTCAGATCCAGATTCTGCATTTAAAAAAAATCAGCTTTAATTAAAAAACAATAAACAAGATTAGGAGAACCCACTGTGTTTTGAGTCTGAATTAATTAATGTGGAGTATGATGATATAAAGATTCATCTATAAGACCCAAAGAAAGCCTTCAAGACCAACAATAAAATCCTAAAATATGATCCATACTGATGAAGACGGACATTTGTGTTATTTGATTTAGCTTCTTTCTCCTGTTAAACGACGACTGGTAGCATTTTGGACCTGTTAAATTCAACAAATGTTAAAAATCTCTCAGGTATTTCACAAAAATGTGACTGCAGGACACTAAAGAGTTCCAAAAAACAGAGTCAGGTTAGATTGTCCAAATAAAATTATTTTCTTTGAGATTACCGAAGTTTAAAATAATCTGTGATTTAATGTACCATAATCTAAACAACCAAACAAAAGCTAAAATTAATCTTCATTAATGTGGGCAGAATCACTAGGTTTTCAACCGACTCATTATGTTCGTTTTAAATGCATCTCAAAAACAAAGTGTACAGTGAAAATTCAGCAGCTCCCGGGACGGAGCCCTGAGGAACTCCAACAAGAGCAGCACAGTTTTACAACAAACAGCCCAGGTTTGTTAAAATGAACAATGAATAATCACTTAATAACTAGAACTTCAGCTAACATCTCAACTCTTTATTCAATTTAGGTGGAGGTTTCTTACCCTCAGCTCCAGGATCACAGGATTTTCACTTTGTTTGAGAGATGAGACGTCCAGCCTTCGCTGATACTCCTCTAGTCTCTGTTGAGACATGCCAGAACCCATCAAACTCAATTAGGTTAAATTAGGTTAGGTTTAGACTGTTAGGTTATGTCTAGTCTGTGTTAGGCTACAAAGGTTTAGGTTTAGGGTACATTAAGCTAAGTTACGTAATGTTTAGTTCAAGTTAGCCTAAGTTAAGTCATGTTTACACTGAGTTAGTCTAAGTTAGGCTAGGTTTGTTGTAGGTTGTACTGAGTAAGGTTAACATTAGAAATTGACAGGATTTAAGTTAGAATTATGTTAGCTTAAGTGAAGTAAATTTGGTTAGGTTGAGACTGAGTTTAGTCTAAGTTAGTTTAGGTTTAGTATAAGTTAGGGTTAATACTATATTAGTAATACTTAATCTAATCTACATAAAGTTAAAAAAGGCAGAGCAAATTTAGGATTAAACTGGCTTACATTAGGGTTATGTTAGTTTAAACAATAACATCCGAATCCTTCATGTATCAAAGAACTCACGGTGGAAAACGGTAATTTGAGGCAATTAAATGCTATGAAGTAAATGTGGTTAGAATTAGACTGAGCTTAGGTTAAGTTAGGCTTAATATAGGTTGTCCTAATTTAGACTAGGTTTATGTTAGCTCTAGGCAAAATGTTGGGTTGGATTTAGGCTATACTCTGGTTTAGTTTAGCAGTTTTAAGTTAGGCTTGGTTAGATACATTTTAAATTACTGTGTTTGTAGCCAAAAATACATTTTTGTAACAACAGATGTACATTTTAGCGCCTATTTACAAAACAACAATAACATAACACAAAGCAGTGTAAAGACAACAGAAGTATTTCCAGGAAAAGTAAAAACTTTTATAAAAACCATTAGTTTTTCACCACTCAGAACATCAGTGAGGAAAAGTCAACATAAAACCAGTAACAGCCGAACAGAAAGCTTCGGCTTCTTTTGGGTTAAGACGAGCCGACCTGTTTGTTTTCAGCTTCTTTCACCGCTTGGTTGACGTGGTTAAGGATCTTTTTACAGCACTCTCCGGCTCTCTTCACCTTCTCTCTCTCTTCACCATTTTCTGTTAAAGAACAACATCGTCAGCAGAGTCACGGAGAACCGTCGTCTTTTACTTTGTGAGAACACACGAACATGATCATACCGGTGTATTTGGCGATATTGTCCAGGAGCAGCGGGTACTTTGTCACTCTTTGCATTTCTACAGGAATGATGTCTTTGAGCTGCAGCCGGCGACACAAACGGTTCGTCCTCGTCTCCTGAGAAATGGCGACGAAGAGGAGGGAGAAGTGGAATATGGAAGATTGACGATCAAAAACGAGTTCAGATTTAAGCGTCTGACCGCGGCGGCGGTTTGGGCGCTGACCTGCATGAACAGGTTGAACCTCTGGTCTTTCTTCTGCCTGGTTTTGATGAGCTCCAACGCCGACGGCTGGTTGCTGCAGAACGTTCCCACCGCTCTCTTTATCTTCTCCTCTTCCTCCCCGCTGAACTGAAACACATCCAGAGAAAGTTCGAGGGTCTGAGAAGCCCGACTGCTTGCACCAAATTAGTCTGGACCAACGTTTCAATCTGTAAAACTCACGTCCTCTAATCTGGCCTGATTAAAAGAAACGGTCCTTACCCACGACAAGAGATCATCTCCGATCTGAACGATCACCGACGTCTCGCTCCTCCTCCGGATCGCTGCCATTTGCTCCGTTATGGAAACTAAAACAGCGAGGGGAGGCGTCACCAAAAACAAAATGGTTCCTCGCTACATCTTCTGTCCAACTCCACCATTAGTGAGACAAACTGAAGCAAACGCTCAACGAGAAGTTCCTCTCGTGCTTTTGTCGTCAGGCACTTTTAAAACGAGCCGAGCTTGAAAAAGATTTTGATTTACTAAAAGTTTACAACTTATAAACCGCTTTGGTTCTTCTCTGATTTACTAGTGAGCTTAAAACAGAATAAAATCAGGAGGGTGCTAACGCTGAGCTAAAAGATCGTTCGGTTCAGAACAGGGTGATTTCTGACTGAAACTTTTTGATTTCCGTCAACATTTTACCCACTTTTGACATAAAGATGTCTAAATTCAGAGGTGCTGTGAGGACCCTGAGCTTCTTGTAGTTATTTTTTTGTGCAATTGTTCTTTATTGAGTTCATTTGGTGATTATTTCACGTGTTTTCATTTCACTGCTCGTTATGTAGTCAGCCCAAGCTACGAACCTCATCACTGCTTCACTTCGCGCTTCATTTGATCTATTTTGAAGCATTTCATTGGCTCACAGATTTTAAGTCAAGCTTCTTAAATTAACCATCTTTTATTTTTATAATCTGTGGTTGGACCGCGGTAGCTTGGCGGTCAGGCTGCGCGTTCGAGCCCAGGTGGCATCAGGAAGAACATCCGGAGTAAAACAAATCCTTAACGTATGGGCGAGTATTTCTGTGTATTAAGACTTTTTAAAAGTAATGTCTCACTCTTATTAACGAAGAACTTGTACTTCTACTGCCGTGTCTAATGTCGTCCAACAACCATCCAATCATTCCTTTTATTATGCAACGGTGATGTAACCATTAAAGTAGTATAAATGAACAAAAAAGTCAGCAGAATAAAAAGACCACAGCCTTTTCTGAACATTTACTGGTGACATGGGCTTGAAGTGCTTGAGCTGGCCACCACAGGTTCCTGCTCTGGGTCAGACTGAAGCCTCCGAGCTTTGGAAGGAGAGCCTCCAGTTTCAGCTGCTCATCATGACCAGGTGTCTCCTCTCTGTTCACCAGCTCCTGTTCATGTAGTAACGGTTTCCATTCCACCGTCACGCGAGCATCGTGTGTGCTTCATGCCACGTCTGGTTCTCCTCTGTGGCTCCACAAGTTATTTTTCTAAGTTGCTGCAGCCACGTCAGTTTTTGTTTTTCATTTTTGTGCTAAATAAATCTAAGATTTTATTTTATTTTTTGCATTACTGAGTTTAAACCGCCGAAACTGTAACGGGTTCTTTTTATTGTTTGTATGCCCATGTAAAACAAATGGATGCACAAAGAGTTTTTGGAGTCTTGACATTTTTTTTTACGAGAATCTTATCGGAGCATTTAAAATAACTGACAAGGTTGTTTACATTTCTAAAGATTTTTAAGTTTAGTTGGGAATCATTGTGCTTATAAACAACATCAAACATAAAAACAGAAAGAATAAATAAAAACACAAACAGAAACAAACGTGCGGCTGATTCTTGCCTATGAGACGTTCTAATGGTTCTTTCTTTGAGCATCTGTAACTTTTAATTTTTTTATTTGCTTTTTAACATTCTTTTGCACTTTGTCACAATGTTTTTACTGTAAGGCGCTTTAAGCTGAAACGTGAGACACAAATAAAGCTTCGTAGCTGTGACGTTACCGTGCAGCTGAATGATCTCCTCCAGGTTAATAAAGATGTGTTTTATGTCTTCAGGAGGAAGGATGCCGTCTCTGTTCAGCCTCTGACAGAAAACACAGTCCAGGACCCTCAGCATGCGCAGGTGAGCACGCTCAGTGTAGAACAGCTCTGCAGTGTGAGCGCACGGAGTCAGGTATGTGCGTTCGGTCACTTTTGGGTCCAAGTGTGAAAAGCCGGCGACTCACCATTGATGACTTCCTGCCGCTTGATCTCCTTTGGCATTAGGCTCTCCAGGACGCCTCGACTGACGAGTTTCTGCCAGTTCAGAGGGTCTTCGTCGCCCTCGCCCTCTCCTGCCTGGTCGTCTTCGCTCTGGATGTCAGCAGAACTCACGGTCGACTGAACTTCCATCCTAACGCCGGTAAAAATAGTCAAGAAGTCCCCTTTAAAAGCTGACTTTGGCAAATAAAATAACCACGGCAGAGCTTAGCAACCTTTATTTATGGCACAAAACGTTAATTCACGGCTTCAAGTTTGTGTTTTATTTCTAATTGACACATCCGTGTTGACTGAAGCAAAATTCAGAAAATTAAAAAACTTAAACTCGGTAATAAAACTGTAAATAAACAAGTAGAATAAACATTCAGTATTTACAATTCTAACTTGGAAAACTGAACGATGAGCAATAATTAACTGCAGAAAGAAGCTAAAACAGTAATTTAACACAAAAACAAATGCTATAAAACAGTAGCGAAAAGTCGCAAAGTGATAGATAGAAATAACAAAACAGATGTTAATATTAGCAAATTTGTAAATAAAAATAGCAAGGCATATACTAAAGTATAAAAGTATACAAAGTAGCAAAGAAAACGCTAATATTATCAAACCTTAAGCTAAAAAAACAAAAAAGATGCTAATATTAACACATTTCTAGTTAAGAGTAACAAATGTGAATATCAGCAATACTGTAGCTAGCTAAAAAGATGCTAAAATTAGCAAAATCATAGCTAATTTAGTCGCTATTAGGTCAAAGTGTGAAATGTCGATGACTCAAAACGGTGGCAAAAAAGCTGAAATGAGCAAAACGAGAAATAAATACTTGAACAAAAGCTTAAAGCGGCAGAATAGCCAGAATATAAAAGCCGTAAAACAGTAGCTAAAATTAGCAGAACAGTAGCTAAAAGTAGCAGAGCAAATAAAAAAATTATCAAAAGAGATGCTATAAGCAAAACAGTAACTGAAATTAGCTAAACGGGTATTAAAGCTAAAATTACCTAAGCAATAAGAAGTAGTAAATGCATAGCAAATGGTAGGAAAACAGACATCAATTTTAAGACATGTAGCTAAAATTAGCAAAAAAGAAGCAAAAAGTTGCAAAAAAGAAGTGAAAGTTGACCAAAAAGATGCTAAATTTAGCTAAACAGTAGCTAAGCATAAGAATGGAATAGCTAAAAGTAAAAAAAATGCTTATTTTGGCAAAACTGCAAGTGAAAATAGCAAAAGAGATGCTGAAATCAACAAATCATTACCTAAAATTAGCAAACAGTTGCTAAATGGAGCAGAATAGTAACTAAATCTAAAAGAAGTATCACAGTAGCTAATAGTAGTTAGCCGAACAATCATAGAAGGTAAAGAGCTTGCAGAACAGTAGCTAAAAGTAGAAAACGGTAAACGTGATGTGTTTTTATTAACGACAGAATATGAATTAAAAGGAAGTAATAAAGATCCACCGGTGACATTCAGCTCTTTCTGCCAGTGAAAGTCTAAATACCTGAAGGCGTCCTGGTCTTCCTCCCGCTGGTCCAGGTTGGACAGGCCGAAGTCGATCTGAGTGCATGTTGGACTGGAGAGGACGTCCTGGTGGTCCACAGTCGGCAGACCGTCGCTCAGCCTCGGCTGGGCGCAGAACGGAGAAACGCCTGAAGAACAGAGGCGTAAACTAAGGAGCTCTGACCTGAACGTAACAACGCTCTTTCACATTTTCAGCTCAGCTCAGTTGGTTCTTCAGTATTTTTCACTTACAATAATAAAACTCTCCTTTAACTCGGCCCGGGAGCCCAGAAAACAGACTTCCTAACACCCCGCAGGACTTTCTGAACACGATGATTAATTAAAAAAAGTAAATATCTTACTGGAGTCTGTCTCTGGTCCGCTCAAGTCCGAGGTGGGACTGCTGAGGGAGCCGGGACCCACAGAGGAGGTGGAGGACACAGACTGGCAGCCGGTGTCTGATCCCTCACTCGGGTGGTTCGCCGGGCTTCGTCCAGAACTCGAGGCAGAGTCGAGAAGCTCTGGGATGGACAGCTGGGAGAACTTCGGCGAGCGCTGCTTGTTCTGCTCCAAGGCTTTAGCAACTGCATGACAAATAAACACAAACATCTTCTGAACGGGAGGAGAAAAAGAAAGAATTCAAACCAAAGACCGTCACTCAACTCTAACAAAGGGTTCAGTGCTTAAAACACTGCGCACTTTGTGCTATTTTAGCCATTTACATGTCAAAACGTTCAGCTCATTCAGGACGTGTGTGCTCGGACTTTGGGGTTCTGTACATTTTATCCTTTTAAATAAAAATATTTTAATTTACTAATATTTTCTCCATAGAAATGCACTGAATTCTCTCCAAAACATTTTTATTTTTGAAACCTGGTTCAGAAAACTGGCAATTTGTTTTTGTCTTTTTAATGCTACTTTTAGCTGTTAGCTATGTTTCTGCTACTTTTAACTTTTAATAAAACTTTGCTACATTTAGCTAGGCTGTTACTAATTTAAGCTTCTAGCAAGGATTTTGCTACTTTGGCCTTGAACAAGCCATCTGCTACTTCAGGCTTTCAGGTTGCCTTTTGCTATTTTTAGAATCCACTTAGCCTTCTGACATTTTAGCTACCTATTTACGGCTTTAGCTTTGAGCTAACATTTTGCTGATATTAGATGGCTTTTGTTCTTGACACACTTAGTTGTAACTACTGTTTTGCTACTTTTAGCTAGTGTTTTGATTATTTTAGCTTCTAGTTAAGTCTTTTACTACTTTAGCTTTTAGCTGTGGTTCTGCTACTTTTAGCTTCTAACCAAAGGTTGCTACATTTAGCTACACTGTTACTACTTTCAGCTTCTATTAGCTTTTAACATATTATTTGGAACATCTGGTTAACATTTTGCTACTTTCAGTTTTTAGTTCGCATTTTGCTACTTTTATCTTCAAGATAGCCTTTTGATATTTTAAGTACCGTAGCTAGTACTAATTTAGCTTTTAGCAAACCTTTTACGACTTTTCGTTTTTAGCTACTGTTTTGCTACTTTTAGTTAGTGTATTGATACTATTAGCTGGCTTTTTGATATTTTTATTTAGCTTTTTGCTAAAATTAACAAGCCTTTTACTACTTTAGCTTTCAGCTAACATTTTGCTGCTTTCATCGAATAGCAATTGTTTGCTACTTTTTATCTTTTAGCTAACCTTTTGCTATATTTAGTATTTAGCTAGTGTTTTACTAGTCTTAGCTAGTCTTGGCTTTTAACAAATTCTTTAATCCTTTTAGTTTTTAACTAGTTTATTTTGTTTGTAAATTTTAGCTAACTTTAGCTTTAACAACCCAGTGATTTTTTTTTTTTTGAGAATTGGTTCCAAAGCTGGGGCTAGGACCCCACTGTGGGTCGTGAAACAACAAGTGAGCGGTCCTGAGATGATGTCCCAAGATTAAATAAAATATAGGGATAATTGATTTAGTCACATTTGTTATAATTGTTATAAAATATATAAACAGTAGAAACAAATGTTTAAAAAGTCATAGTTTGCAGTTTTTAGTCATTGGTTTAGCATCAAAGCAGGGGGCACTTCAGGGTTCCATCAGTTTTTCAGCAGGGGCCGGTGCCCCCCCGGTCACTGCCCCTGGATCCAGCTCTGGCTGACGCAGGAGTTTTCTCCTCACCCGAGTCCGTTCTGCTCAGACGCCGAGGAGGGCCGAGGATGATGGGAAACCGAGGTTTTTTCACCTTTTCCTCCCCCTCCTTCTCAGATTTAGTACTTTTCCCCTTGAAACAAGAAAAAAAAATTATTCAGATTAGATTCAAGCAGATTGTAAATTACTGCCTTCTAAAGTTTGGATTACTGTTAGGGTTTATGCGTGGATGAAAATAACGAGTTGCACCTTAATTCTGGGCAGGAAGTTGATGCGTGCCCGTTTTTGTTCGAGCCCACGGGATTCCTTTACTTTCACCCCGAGATGCTTCATATAGGTGTGGATCACATACTGCATGTTTTGGCTGCACAGATAGTAAAGAAAATAAAAGTTTTATTTAAAATTGTTTAGTAAATACATTAATTTACTTATGAACCTATAGACTAAATGGGATGATTCACGTGCAAAGAGCTAAAATTAGCCTGTGCAACAGGATGACACTTTATGATCCCACACAATCATTTATAAATATTGGTAAAACAGCAGAACAGGAACTAAAACAGTTCTTTAAAACAGATGAGTGCATGTCCTACAGCCGAGTGGGAAACTGGTACCGAAACAAAAAAAGCCCTTTTCTCACCACTTCTCCTCTTCTGAGGGTTGAGACGACAACCTGCAACAAAACGCTCACATGAGGAGATAAACATGAACACGTGGGTGTTTGCTGTGATGCTCAGCAGCAGTCAGGAGAGCAGCCACCCATCATGGACACAAACGTCGGATTATATTTAGGGTTTTAACGATTAATTTCAATCAGTCTGGTTCCAGGGTGGAAGGATTCTACAATGCACAACTTCATCTCCATCTTCTGCCGCTCATCTAGAGTTGGGCTGTGAAAAAAACAGGTCCAAGAGAGAAACTCTGACCTCCCTCTCCCCAGAAACACTATCCAGCTCCACCTGGGGGATCCCAAGGTCTTCTTAGACTAGAGAACGCCTTGGGATATAATTCCTCTAGCAGATTCTGGGTTTGCCGCAGGACCTCTTCCCAGTGGGATAATGTCCAAAGGGAGGCGTCCAGGAGGCCTCCTGACCTGAAGCCTGAACAGCTGACTCTTTTTGATGCGGAGGAGCAGCGGCTCTACTTCAAGCTCCCCCTGGATGACGGAGCCCCTTAATCTATATTTAAGGCTGAGCCCGGCCACCCTATGACGGAAGGTCATTTTTGCCATTTGTATCCAGGATCCCGTTCTTTCAGTCATGATCCAAACCTCAAGAGCACAGGTGAGAGTTGGAATGTAGACAGACCAGTAAATCCAGAGCTCAATTCAATTTTTTCTTCACCACGACCGACTGAAGCAACACCCTCATTACTGAGGACAAGGCCTCAATCCGTTGCTCCATCCTACTATCACCTGCGAACAAGACGCCCAGATACTTGAACTCCTCCACCTGAGGCTAAAACTCCTCCCCTGACCCAGAGCGGGTATGTGATGTGGTGTATGTAGCGAGTGAGGTGTATGTGTTTGCCTCAGAACAACGGCCATGATTGGTTGAATAGTCCACTGCGCCCGCCCCATGAGTGAGGAAAAGAAAAGAAGAAGAAGCAGAGCCGGTCTAGAAGTGGACCCTTCACTACTATAGTGCATCAATAGATTTGTTATTCTGGTTATGACGGGTGTACGATAATTTACCTCAAAATACGATAATTTTATGTCTCTAGTACAATAATCCTACATTTCTCACCTGGCAACACTGTCACCGACCCACCCTCCATCCTGTGAGCCATTAGGGCCACTGATACCTGTTGAATGCTTCTATATGAGGTCGACGTGTGAGCTGTTTTGGTCACGTGTTGTGGTGTAAATGGTCAAGGCGAGGCTTTCAAAACCAAGAAAGTTGTTCAAACTTTCAAGCACGGTGGTGGCAGTATCATGTTGCGGTACAGGTGCACAAAGTGCATGATGTGATGCAGTTCTTCAACATCACCATAATCAGCAGCTGGACAGCTGAGACTTGTGCACAACTGGGTGTTTTAACTGGACAGTGATCCCAAACACACATCAGAACTAGTTTCTGATTGGACAAAAATGGCTGACTTTAACAACAAAAGTTAAATCATGTCATCTGGACCAGATTCTTTAAGTGAGAAATGTTTCACCTCCCATCCGGAAGAGTTCATCAGTCTGCAGCCTGCCAACCAGCTCTGTCCCATAGATAGCCTTCGCTGCTGTGTTTCAAGCTAAACTCCTGTTGGAATCTCAGAAGTAGACTTTTAACGCATGCAAACAGGGCCCACCTGTCCAAAACAATCGATCATTTATAACAATCAATATTGTTGGCTATAAATGGATGACTTTAAGTTTCTGGAACAGACTTCCAAAATTTGTGGACTATGTCGTTTCTTGGTCTGTACCAGGAAACTGCTATGAGTGTGTGTGTGTGTGTGTGTGTGTGTGGGGGGGGGGGGGGTGAAGGATATATTTCATCAAATAAATAAACTACCAGTTTAAATTATTTTGGGACTGTACTTATATAGCACCTTTCTATCTTTTCAAGATACTCAAAGCTCTTTACACCACAATCTGGGCCTCATTTACCCATTCATACAGCTCTATACTAGATCTGTACGAAGCTAACTGAACAAATCATTCTAAAGAGACTAATCAGTGCTTTGATCACATTCATACACTGATGGGACACACAGTGTCTTGCCCAGGGACACTTCAGCATGTGTCTGCTGGTGGAATCGAACCCCCAACTCGCGCATTGGACGACGCCTGCTCTAACCACTCAGCCGCAGCCGCCTTAAATTTGTGCACCCAGTTTTAGTTCACCCTGGAAAAAGATTGGCTGAAAAAAATTGTGTCCACGATGAGAAGATGTAAACTCCTGAGCTCGACTGTGTGCGCTCAGAGACTCACAGGATGTCCTCGATCTTTGACAGGATGTGTTCAGCACAGGAGCATTCCTTCTCCGACGCCTGCTGGTCTTTACCTCGCTCCGAGTCCAGCTTGGACAGCTCGTTTTCGGCCAGCGTCAGACCCATGCTGCGTTTCTGTCTGCGTTCAGAGACGGACACTCCATTTCTCAATGTGTCAACTCCAGACAGAGGCTTAAGTTTAAGGAAAACTCTAAAGCTGAACATTTATTTTAGGGATGTTGCAGAAAGTTGAGCTGCTGGTACCTGAAGTCCTCCAGGTTCTTGTGTAGGTCCGATAAAAGAGAGTCCTGTAACACCTGAGAAAATTGTTTACACAGCTCCTCGGGGATCAGCTCCAGCCTTCGCTTATCTGACCAAAATTAAGCAAAAACAAAAACGAACCTTGTGAGAATAAGAGGGATTTATAGTGGAACAAATACTTATAATGTTTAATTTCAGATATGTCAGTAGTCATTGACTACCTGGTATTTGGTGAGCACCTCTCTAAGATCGTTTTTCTATCAATAGACGAAAAATAATATCTGAAAAGTGAAAATGTTCTCGTTGGATGTTTGACTCTTTTCAAGAAAAGACACAGAGTTCTGTGTAACTGTCATTTTGTTGTTGTCACATTTAGTGTTTTACTGCTTCAAACAGTAGAAAACAGAAATTATTCTGTCAGAATGCTCTCTTACAGGTAATGATATTCCACAAGGCTTAGTCCTCGGTCCACTTATTTATTTATATATATATATATATATATATAT